ACACGACAGACGGCTGCCGTGGGAGTGCAAGACGTGTCACTGATCCTTATCCAAGAGATTTGCCCTGGAGAGGAGGTGGGGTGCAGTTACACTCTTCCCTGGAGTGTTTGTGCATTTAAAAAAACCAAACTCATGCCGCAGTTGCCATATAATGGGGGAAAAGATCATCCTTAGGTACAGACTTCAGGTCTTTCATGATGGGACAACAGCTGGGCTCTTTTTTTCTTTCCCTTTTTGTAGTGTTGTGTTTCTTGCAGTTGTAGTTTTTTCACCTACAGATTATACTGATATCTGTAAAGTAAGGCATTAACCTGGAAAGAAGGCAATTTGAGGCCGAATTCTTAGCTGAGAAGGGAGGGAACCCTTTTTCAGTGATTCTTGGGCGATAATCGGGCCAGCAGGATTTCATTGAGTTTGGATGCAGAACATTCTCGGAACAGAAAACACAGGCCCCTTTTGGGCTGGCTGTTACTATTTATATAAATGACACAATCTCAAATAAACCATTCACAAACATTTATTCCAAACAGTTAAGACTCACGAAGTACAGGAGTGTTTTGCTAAAGATACCTGATAGTGAGGGGAAGGCTCCTTATGCGGAAAGGGGGCTTCTGTGGACCTATCTATCCAACACCTACGGCATGAATCTTGTTTGCTGCGTGGCCGTGTCACTAGGGCTTGTAAAGGGCAGGTTTGTATTTCCTGGTCTGTTATTTTGCTGTATATCTTTAGTCCTCTTCCTTCTTTCCATCCTAGCTATTCTGTGCCTTTTGTTCCTTAAGTAATTGTCTTCTACTTGATATAAATAATCTTCAATTAGTCCAATCTGCAATTAAAAAGAAGCGATGTCAGAAGCATGTCCCTTCCCCTCTATAAAAACGTCAGAAACTTTTGCAATCAGTTTATCTCAAAACTAATTGTCATTAGAAAGAAAAATACACGAAGGCACCTCTCATACAATTGGCTGGAGAAGCGGTACCTGATTTCATAATTTTTTTTTTTTTGTCCTTTTCTATTTGCATTCAATTACTTTACTGCTGTGCAATAGACTCCTTCATTGAAACCTGTACACTGAAAACAGGAATTTATCACAACTCTGTCTTTAAATGGCATTGAGAAACAGCCACTTTAAAAGGAAGGGATGATGAGGGAATTAATCTCGGCAAGTTTTTCTTGATAAGGAAAAAGAACAGAGGCTTCTGGCATTTATATGCCAAAAATCAACACATGGAGAAAAATGAGTATTCCACATTGCTGTGGCAAGAATCATTTTTCTATTAAATCAAAATGAAGTTCTGAATAAATATGTTTTCCCATGAATATAATACACTAGAGAGTACAGTAAAAGAATAGATGACCTCAATGTCCCCTCAAATAAAAACATAATTATTCTAATAAAAAGTACATTCAGAGAGACACAACTTCCTTGCAGGGCTGATTTCAAAACAACTAGAAATACAGATTAATAGTACTGTGTACAGGTATTCTGTAAATACTAGGCATTCATAATTTCATGGCTATGTCTCCCTATACCTTACCTTTATTTATACGCTTTGTCAGATTTTGTGATGGGCAGCGTTAGTATAAGGTGAAGATGAGAATCATCTCCCTTCACACTGAGTTATACTCAAGACCTGGACCCTATATAAAGTGAGGATCTTAGGAATCAATCTTCCAATTGCATTTTAAGCTGAAATGTTAAAAATAAAATTAAAAAAAAAGCTGAATCTATCATCCTGGCATGCATTCAGTGCAGAGCTGCTTCTTTAGGCACAAAACAGGGCAGCTGCGAATTAATCTGAGTGTGGCATCCTGTTGGATTTATTCATATATTGAGTTGTTACTAACGTGCTTCTCAACCCTGAACTTGAAGATGTGCCATGCACTCTGGACGTGGTTTGTGTCAGTGAAGGATGTGTACACGTGTGTGTGAGAGAGAGAGAGCAAATGAGGTGAACAGAAAAGTTCAAGGCCAATTCCGTCTGCATCCCTGGGATGCTGAGGGTGCCAGGAATGCATCTGGGAGAAGAGCTCTGCCTCCTCCTCCCCATGAAGCTTGTTTCCAGCCAATGTTTCCCGCTTTTGTGTAGCACCACGTATGATGCCCTGGAAAAACGTTTTCTGCCATGCTGGTGAGGCTTGGTGGGCGCTCGCTCCTGGGCTTTTGCTCCTCTGCTGCCAAGAGATCCATTGCAGAGGGAGCAGGGGGAGGTTGGGCCTCTCTGAGGACAACCTCACAGGCCGGCTTTGCTGTGATGTGCTCACCATATCAACATGTGGAGGATTAGAGAAAGGACTCATTATGCTAGCTTCATTTTTAAGAAGCTCAAATAAAAGCTTAGGAAATCATTTATCTGGCCAAAAGCACATGGGAGGTCTTGGAAAGACTAATCACTTGGTGCCAAGCTCCAGTCCAGGGGCTTAGCCATATTAAAAACAACCACCAAACCCCCAAGACTCTTCTGCAACAGACCAGATTAAAATGTCTACCTTTCTTCTGCAGTTAAAAGTAACCCTTTTTTATTTCGAAAGTAGTGCTTGATCTTGCGTGAACGTAAAGAGTGGCAAGAGAGATGGGTTCTGAGTCCTGGGTAGGGTGTGGGGTGAGGGCAAAGAGGGCAGCAGAAAAGCAACAATTTTTGCAGCAGCTCCTCTAGGACCATCCAGCGGTGCCTGCGCTGCTGCTGATGCCACCACAAAGCCTCCACTGGAATGATGCTCTTGCCTCAAACCGTGGCTCGCCTGCTCTTGTATGCTTTTCATATTTATAGAATACCTGTCAGCTCCAGCCCCCAAAATAAGCTCTAATATGGCATATCGGGGTGGAAATAATAGTTGCTTACATAATTGCAATGTTACTGACACAGCTGATGAGCTGATGATGTTATGTGCCCAGCAGTGATGGCATTCAAACCCTTGCCGACTTACAATCACAGTGTACGCTCTGAGCCCTAGCACGATTTACATTACCATACGAACACAATGGAAGTACAGTCTTTCAACAAGATAAAGGAGTGTGGGGGGAGGAGAATGGCTTAAAAATCTCTTTTTGGTGGTTGCAGTGTTCAGTACTGCTTATTCATGGCTTTTTAGCTTGCATGTTTCATTTTAGGAAAGTAAATTGGAAGCTTTATGTTCCGCCTTTTTGCCTTGAGTTAAAACCTCCCGGTGCACGCTCTTCTGCTGCCTGACTGCAGTGAGCTGCCTTTGGGGCTCTCATTGGGAAATGCAAATTTTTAAAATCAATAGGTTTACTTTTTTCTTTTATTTTTTTCCACCAATAACTGTTTAAATAAGAATCTATGTGGGTGGGAATAAGTAGAAGGACATAGTTTGTGGCCAGCCCAAGTGCAATTATTGTTAGAGCAACAGCTGTCGTAGGAAAATGGATTTTGGAAGAGATTTAGGACATCTTTCCAAGTAGAGCTGGGGAATAACTGGCTACACGCGGATGCTGAGTATTACATAACTGAACCCTACAGCTACTATAGAGACTAAAGCAGCGCTGAAGTCTGAGTGAAGCGCTCTGCAGGACCTGGTTCGCAATGGAGCTTTCGCTACCAGCGTGGCCAGTGATCCACATGAGGCTCGCTTCAGGCCAGATCCCAGCCCACACAGAGATCGGCAGCGGTGGGTCAGTCCTTCGCACTGTCTGCCTTGGATTACATTTCCCCACCTCCAGTCCCCTGATCCGACAGTGCTTACGTGTGCCACAGTTTCTGTGCGGGAGCTGGTCGGCAGCATCCGCCAGGGCTGTGCTTGGCTCCCCATCGCTGAACTTGCTGCTGGACGTGTTTGGAGCGAAGTCCCTTAAATGCTTTCCAGAGCAAACGAAGCCACGCTTCTCCTGACTGCTCAGCTCTACAGTGTCTTTACGGTCTTTTTCTCAAGTGACTGGTGACCTGAGAACTTTTGAAGACAAATTCGACTTTGACTTATTTTTAATCCTCCGCTGCTATAACATCTTACTTTCAAGACACCCTGAGTATTTTTCCCTCCAGTTACTCCCAGCAGTGCAGTGGCAGCATTTCTACTTTGGATCAATGCCTGCAGCCCTGCCCTAGCTAGAGGCTCCTCTGTGCCCGACTGCCTGTTCGAGTTCATTCTGTTTCTTCCTTATTAGCTCCTGATTTCAGACCCTATTTCTTTCACTGGATTTTTCTCTCTGGTCCCTATGATCAGCTGGAGGAGCAGAGGGAAAAAAAAAAAAAAGGAATGGACAGAATGAAGATCAAATGGAAAGAGGGAAGAAATAGAAAAGATGCCCTTAAAGCAAATGACATGACTAGTCCACAGCGTATCTGTGTGGTACCTATGGGTGCTCGGGGATCAGGCTAAGCAGAGAAGTATAGGAGTCTAGGGGCAGAAGTTTAAAAATGAACCAGGTACTAAGTAGAATTTATTTTTGGGCTCTTTACATTAATATTGCATTAATTTTATGTTGCCTCCAAATTGTCCTTTGTGATTCAAATTCTTCCGTTGATAATACGCTGTGGAAGATATCAATGGTGGAAACGGTTTGGGGAGGGGCAGGACAAAAAGCAAGGGAGTTAACACTGAGAAAACGCCTGAACTTCTGCAAGAGTGCAGGTATATAGTCTTAGCATTTCAACAGTCATCCTTCAGTTTTGCATCCAGGAGTCTACGAAGGTTCTGGGGGAATCAAAACAATGGACTAATGCTGGGTCTGCAGAGAGGTCTCCAGGCTGGTGGCTGAATGAAAACAATAAACAGGACAAGAAAAGCAAGCTTGTTTGGACCACTTGAGGAAAAAGATGCTGTTTTTTAAAGTCAGGGGAATGAAATGGGATGGACAAAACCTCCACGTGTGCCCTTGGACCAAGAAGCTGCTGGCCTCGATGGCACAGCCTTTGCTGTGCTGCTGAGACCCCAGCACCAACAGACCATGTCTCAAAAGTGTTTCTGCTCTTTGATTCTTGGGGGCAAATCAGCTGAATGCGTAGGGTTGTGTCTGCTTTTCTTCAGTGCCACACATCAAGGTATTTTTATTCTGATATGGAGAGAGGTGAGAAGCATAATGAGCACACCAGAAGTACCTGGGTTGACTGTAAGTCAGTTGGTCTGCTCTAAATTCCAGTTCTGCACAAAAGAATGATCTGTGGTCCATGTGAATGCTGAGGTGACCCGCTCGTTCTTAACTGAAATGGCTTTACATTGTTCTTTAAGATGGGCAGAATCTGTAAATACTTATGCTTCTGGTATACTCATCTAATGCAGTTTATGTCTGCAAAGAAAATGCAGAGCTCTTTGGGTGACAGGCAAGGCAGCAGGATTAGCTGGAGGGATGAACTGCAGAGGGTCTAACCAGGTGAGGCAACCTGTGGTTCCCCTTTGGCTTAGGATTTGATTTGGACCTACAGGAGCTTCTGAAAATGACGTTGTATAGATCCACACAAAGAAGAACAATACAGGCCTTGTTTGGAGCACATAAAAGTATTTCTGATCCTGCCCTTTTGTACGTGTTGTCTGGTGATGGATAAAGGGGAGAGACTTGCTGCTGTGAGCTTTCAGCCCTGCTCTCTGGATGCCATCGTGATTGATTCGCTGGCAGTGTGGAGGGATGTGTAAGCAGCGCTTGCTGGCTGCAGCTGAATTACAATCACAGAAAGATTTCAGTGTAAGGGACCTCTGGAGGTCATCTAGACCAACTTCCTCTTCAAAGCAATGCTTTATGGGAAATTCACATGTCCTTTTCTGAAAAACTTAAAGCATTTCTGGTAATGTCCTGTCAGTCACTTCTGAACTTGTCTGGATGCCCTGAAATACCACAATGCAAAAATATTCTTTGCACTCATTGGGATAAGG